GGGCCCAGCCGTGGGCGTGCTTCTTCCCCCAGCCGAAGAACTGCTTCAGCTCCCGCCGCAGGGTGCTGTTCTGCTCCCCGCTCTTGGGGTCGCACACGCCGGGGATCCTCTCTGCACGGGGGGGAAGGAAAGGGGGTCCGGGCGGGGTCCAGGGGGACGGGGCAGCCGGTGTCGGGGGGGTAGCAATCGCCCGGGCAGGCTGGCTCGGGTCTCAAAGTGAGCTCTGTCCCTGCACATAGGCGCCGGGGACAGTGCTTCCTGGCCGAGGCTCCAGCTCTCGCTGGGCTCGCGGAAGGGGCAGGCCGGGGCCGTGTCCAGCTCGGCACCCCGTGTCTGGCCGTGCCCAGCCCTGGCAGGATGCACGAGCCCTTGGCTGCTCGGGAAGGACCTGGTCCCAGGGGCAGCCTCTTCCCTGCACCTGCTGACCAGGGCAGGAGCAGATGCCCGGGCAGGCGTGACATCAAAATCACGTCATAAATAACGGTGGGGGAGCCGCGGGGCTGAGCTGGCGCGCTCGGCCGGAGGCCGCGAGGCTCGCTCGCTCCCTGCTGGGAAACGAGAGCTCCAAATTGGCTCCTGCGCAAGAAATCCAGGTGCCGGGCACACACCCGGGCCAAGGCAAGGAACAACCTCTCGGCACGTCCCACGCTCGCAGGAAGGGGGGAGTGGTGCCGGCCATGCCAGGACCCCCCCCGCGCCTCTGCCACCCCCCAGCACCAAGGCAGAGTGCAGCAGATTTGCATGTGGCGCAGGATGAATCGCGGCCGGGAACACTAATCTAATTACAGCCAGAGCCAGGGGGCGGGGGCGACCCGACTGCAGCAGCTGGAGGGGCGCCAGGCCCCCCGGCACGCCACGGGGAGCTCCGGCTCCAGGCGAGCCACCTGGGGGGCGGGTGAGGCTCGGGGCCAGATTTCCGGCCCTGCTCCCACACTCCCCACCCCAGGCAGAGGGAAGTGGAGGAGGAGGCGCTGCGCAGGCCCTCGGGCTCCCAGGACCCCAGACCGCGTGCGAGCCGGGGCCCTGCACGGTGGGCGCTGTGGCTGGCGTGAGGTGGGCTGCTCCGCTTTCTATCGGCAGCTGCGGTGCCC